CTGTGGCTCAAGTGGTAGAGCGCTAGCCTTGAGCTGAAGAGCTGAGGGACAGCGCCCAGGCCCAGAGTTCAGGCCCACGACCGGACAAACCCCCCCCCCAAAAAAAAAAGAAAGAAAGAAAAGGTAGCAAATCACTTGCTCTCTCTGAACTTGTTTTAGAACATATAAAAGTGGAGCCTCACAAGAGTGTTACATGGCTCATACTAGCTCATACTTAGACCAAAACTCAAAAGAGACTGGGCATCGAGAGTTCAGGTCTCTGTAGCGCACCTGGAGCATCAACACCTAAGAACACCCACTCCCCTCCCCACACCACCTTGTTTGCCAGGGAACATGGTCTCCAACAGGTAAAGCTTCCTCCTAGGACAAGCTATGCTGTGTTGTCAGGGTCTACGGGGCAGCGGTGGGAACAGGGACGGAGCTTCAGCAGCCTGGCATTTGCTCTTAGCCAGCTGGGGGACCACAAATCCGCCAGAGACAACTACTTGCACGCCTTGCAGGCTGCCCAGGACACAGGTGAGAATGAGAGGGGTAGCATTTGACTTGGGTGTGGGGGGGACCCAAGAGACTGAAGATTCTTGGGGCTGGTGGGGAGGCAGATGGGGGAACTTGAGGGTGAGGCATACTTCTGAAGGTGAAGGGTCCATGGGACAAAGAAAGATGAGAGGACCTTTCAGGCTCTCTTTCTCAGGAGACATGAAAGGACAGTGGCAGGCCTGCGAAGGCCTTGGGGCTTCTGCAGCCAGGCTTGGGCAGTATGACCAGGCCTTGAAGTACTATAAGGCGGCGCTGGCTCAGTGTCAGGTGAGACCTGTGTGTTAGACTGACTCTTCCCGCTGCGCCTCCTCCCGAAGCCTTCTCCAGCTGACTCCCCTCTCCTACACTTGTTCACTCATTACACATGCACTAGACGCATATGTGTGCTGAGTTGTGGGATATCCGGGATCTGAGGAGGACGGGATCTCTTTTGTCTACAGTTCTGGGCTTAGTGGCATGGGCTAGGATAGAAGAGAGGGGAGAACCCCCCCACCCCTCCTCAGCTTGTTTCTTTCTCCCCTTAGTTCCTTGAGAGCTGCAAAGCCCAGGTCTTCCTCAGTTCCTCCATTTTCTCCTTTCTCCCCAGAAGGAGCCAGTTTCTGTGCGAGAACGGCTAGTGGCCAAGCTGGCAGACGCCATGAAGACCCACCTGATCCAGGTTTGTGCCCAGGTGAGATGACACCGGAGACAAGAAGCTGGAGGTGGGGATAGGGTTGCCCAGAGAAGGCGATGACTGCAGGCAGGTCTCAGGGATGACATGCTTAACTGCTCATCTGTGTCCATCTTGTCCTTCTATCCCTGGCCAGCATGTGAGATGTATATCATGTTCCCAGATACAGGGATGTGGGGATTATGGCATATCTCTGGGAAAGCAGTCTCAAGACTTTGACTGAGCGGTTACAGGGCCAATGAAGGCCAAGAAGTACAATCAAGAATCCTCTTTGGGGCTAGGAATGTGGCCTAGTGGTAGAATGCTCACCTAGCATACATGAAGCCCTAGGTTCGACTCCTCAGTGCCACATAAACAGAAAAAGCTGGAAGTGGCTCTGTGGCTCAAGTGGTAGAGCACTAGTCTGGAGCAAATGAAGCTCAGGGACAGTGCCCAGGCCCTGAGTTCAAGCCCTATGACTGGCAAAAATAAATAAATAAATAAAATTAATTAATTAATTATTAAAAATCCTCTTTATGGATGTGAAAAGACTGCAATTCCCAAAATGGCCACAGGATGGCAATAGTACTCCAAGGAAGTCACTCACCCATCTCAGTTAATGGGACATTTCTTTGTAGTTCTTCACTTTCCTCATTTCTGGGCTCTTTCTCCCCCTCACTCTACCTCCTAGTCTCTCTCTTTAGTTGGCTCTCCAACTGCCTCTGCATATCGAGATGCTCTTGGAAAACTACTCTCCCTAGGAACTGATTTTTTTGGCAGTTCTGGGGCTTGAACTCAAGGCCTGGGAACTGGCTCTAAGCCTCTTTGTGTTCAAGGCTAGTGCTCTACTACTTGAGCCATAGAACCACTTCCAGCTTTTTCTGAGTAGTTTATTTGAGACTGTTCTGCCCAGGTTGGCTTTGAACTGGACCCTCAGATTTCAGTCTCCTCAATAGCTATGATTTTAGGCATGAGCTACCAGGAACTGAAAATTTATTATATGTATTTAAGAGGTTTTATGTCCTCTACATATCTACCATATCTACAATCTGTAAGCAATCTTGCAATCTGCAAATCTGGGACTTGAGGGGGGGAGGGTAATAGCTCAATGGAAGCGTGCTTGCATAGCATGTGTGAGGCCTTGGGTTTGATCCCCAACACTGAAAATAAATCAGCCAGGCACTGGTGGCTCACATCTGTAACTCAAGCTACAGTGGTTGATGTGTAAGCCCATGGGATACAGACTCTTGAAGTCAGTATGTAAAAAATGTACTTAGACTCTCGATATTACTGGCTCCGCTGCCATTCTAGCTACTCAGGAGGCTGAGAACAGAGGTCGCAGTTCAAAGCCAGCCCAGGCAGAAAGTCTGTGAGACTCTTATCTCCAAATAACCACCTAAACTCTAGAAGTGGAGCTGTATCTCAAGCGGTAGAGAGCTAGCCTTGAGCAAAAAAGCTCAAAGACAGCACCCAGGCCCTCAGTTAAAGCCCCAGAACTGGCATACACACACTTTTTTTTTTTAAATCAAGTTAGCTTGATGTAGCTTGGAACTGATAGTTCATGCCTGTAATTCTACTCAGGAGGCTGAGATCTGAGGATTGCAGTTCAAAGCCAGCCCAGGCAGAAAAGTTGGAGAAACTGTATCTCCAATTAGCCAGCAAAAAAAACTTTAAAAAGAAGGTGTGAGGGCTGGGAATGTGGTTTAGTAATAGAGTGCTTGCCTAGCATGCATGAAGCCGTGGGTTCAATTCCTCAGTATCTTGAGTAAAAGAAGCTCAGGGACAGTG